GCGCTGGGCGACGCCCGCCTGTGCTGACCGCCACTGCTTTGGTTTTGGCAGCCCAAGGGGCGGGCGCCACTGGCTGCATGCGCGTCGGGCCACGCTGCCAATTAGTAATGGAGAGCTGCCAGGGGGTCAAGCAGCTGAAGCAAGGCGCCCACGGCAACACTGCACAGCTGAAGGCATAATGTACTGCACAGCTTGCATGCGCGTGCGTGCTTACACTCACACACACAAACGCACGCACGCACGCGCACCTGCGCACGCTCACGCACACAAACACACACACACACACACACACACACACACACACACACACACACACACACACACACACACACACCTTGATCGTCACGTTCATGCCGCCGACCTCCCCAAACGACTGCATGCTGTGAGGCTGTTTGAGCCCAAGCTGCGATTCGCTGCTTGGGCTCGCGCCGCCAGAGGAACCGCCAACGCCGAGCGACGCACTCGCCGCCCCATCAGCGAGTATGTCGCGCGCGACAACATGCTCGGGTGCTGCTTGCCGCTGCGTGGCCTCCAGCTCGCCCATGGGCACGACAACTTCCAGATTGCTCATCGCTGCCCCCGCGGACGGTGCAGCGACGCCGCTGGTATAGCGGCGCTGAGCTGCGTCGCCGCCGCGCAGGCGTGGGCGGCGCTTGCTGCGCCGCTGGGTGGGCGGAAAGCTGCGTCAATCGCAATGATTGAGTATAGGTATTGCTAAATTTGAAAAAGAGCGCCGGTGCCTGACTATAGTGAGACTGAGGGACGCGGCCGGATACGGGTGAGAGTCGCAGATCGACCTCGACGCGGGGTGAGAGATAGTCTATTGATATATTCTGGCCCTAAAAAATGCAAGGGGGCGAGCGAATGGAGCCACTCGCGGCCAGCGAGGGTCTCGACCACGAGAGCAGATGGGCACGGGCTGAGGGTTGAGGACACACGCACCCCTATATCACAATAGTGTTGATAATTTAAAAATGTATATGTCGTGCTGCAAAAGCGTAGCAGCCTGGCAATCACCTGGTCCGCGCTGCGCTGGCTGCTCGCATGTAGGCGTGCAGGCCGAGGTCACAGGAGGCTTAGTTATGGCTGCCCAAGGACCAAGCTCACACGCCTGGAGAGGGCTCATGCGGAATGTTCTCTTCTCAGATGCCTTGACTGCAAACAATGGGGTTCACGGGCCTTGATGGGCCGCCAACTGACAACCGCCACCGCCGGCTAGCGACATCCAAGTTTACACAATTGATCCTGCCAGTGGTCCTGCCAGTGTGGCAGCCTTGGGCCCGCCCGCCTGAGCCCTCGCAGCCCGCGCACTCACTCATCCCTCGGAAGCCCCACTGCCAAGGACCCTCATCTTGCCGCCGCCGCCGCGGCCCGCCTCGGCCACCTCAGCTATCGAGCCCCATTCGTCGTACACGCCGCCGAGGCCGGCCACGCCCGTGCCGCTGCTCTCGCCGGCGGTGTACGTGGGGCCGAGGGTCCTGAGGAGGTGCGCCACGACGCCCAGCACCGAAGAGGAGACCGCGACGCCCACCCAGATGATGCACCACCCGACAAGCCAATGCCCTACCTGCGAGGCCCAGAGGCGGGCGGGAGGGCATGAGTGTATGACGCACGCCGGCACGCACTGTCGACCACACAGATAGGGCGTCCGTCGTTGCAGCCGCAGTGCGTGAACCCAGGATGGCATCGCCCATACACACCTGGCGCGTCCGGTGCCCAAGACGGTGCAAAACCGCGAACTGCCATTTCCCCATCAGTTGCGCCTGCAACCGCCTCGGCGCCTGGCCAGCCAAGGCGGCATACAAACACAAACACACACTCTCACACCATCTTACGTTTGTGTGATTCAGCAGCGCGACGGTGGAGAGCACACACGCCAGTACCCAGGTCGCAGCTAGCGCCCCCTGCGCCCACGCCTCCACGCGGCGCCCCGCGCCCAGCCAGTCGACACGCCGCGCCTGCGCCGGCCACGCGCGCGTGTTTTGACAGGGTCACCAACACGGGGCCAGGGGGCAGGGCGCCCCCTGCCGCTGAGGGGATCCACATGTGCGATGCGGCAGTCGCTCAGCACTCGCACAGGCATGAGCCGCCGGCCACAGGATGGGCATCTGCAGGGCCCCAACGTGCACGCACGCCTGCGTGTCGCCCAACACGCGCCTGGGTTGCCGCCAGGGCAATATTGGCTGGAATGGGCAGGGCCACGATGAGGCAGGCGGCGCGCATGACGCCGACGGGGAGCCCCGCAGCGGCCTCGGCGACGGCGTCGACGCTGAAGAGCACTAGCACGAGCAGCGAGATGACAACCTGTGTGTGGGTGCGACGCACATGAGGACTGCAGATGACGTCTGGGGGTTGCGTGTGCCGCCTGGCACGGGCAAATGTCGAAGGCGCACGGCTTGCATGGCCAGAGCTTCAAGGGGGGCTCGAGAAGTTCATCTGCAGGCATGCTGGATGAGCTGCCTCCAGAGATGAGGCCCAAACAACAACCACAGGCAAAAGACATTCAGCGCTTGACAGAGCGCTAATGCTGCTTCGCCCACCTCGGCAGCTCGCAGCCCCAGGATGGTCCGCTGCGCCGGCTCCGAGGGCCGCGCCCCACACCATGTCGCACCGGCCCAACGCCGCCGCTCGTCCAGCTCGGCCTGCGGCGGCGCCTCCATCCGCGCATCGGCTCTTGTATCGCCCCGACCGACTGCTGTCTGCTTGCGCGTCGGGCAAGCTAAACACATACAACGCTGGCGGCTGGTTTTTCGCAGAGGTGTTGCTGCCCTGCAGCACACGGAGCAACTGCGTGCTGACCGGACCTTCCAGGGGGCGGCACAAGTGGACGCCGCGAGCCAAGCTGTGGCGCGAGAAGCTTCAAGTATTGGCGCTGGTTTCCTGTTCAGACAGAGCCAGAGCCAAGATCCTGGAAAGCTGCATACGTACTTGCTCGCCGAGAGAATGTGAGCACAGGTCTTTGAGAGCAAAGGATCGCGATACAATATTTATTGTTGTTGTTACCAGTGCTCTCCACGCAAGTTGCAGGCTGTAGGCCCTTGCAAGGTGGCAGTGCTCTGATGTCACCAGGTGACGGGCCGGCGGCAGCAGCTTCAGCATTGTGCAGGTCGATGAACCTTGCACCCATCCTGACCGGCCCATCCGCCGCCCTGCTGCGCCGCTTGGTATCGTCAAAGCGTGTTGTCACCGACTACCATCCTGAAGTCGTCAAAGGAGCGCTCCAGGTCAAAACTGCCGTCAGCCACCTGCGGTTTGGGCACGCATAGCAGTTGACCAATCGGATGCGGCGGTTGACCCATGGCCCATACAGCAGGCGCTTGCTTCAGGAGGGGTTCAGGGATTGTGCGGAAAGATGGGCGCATTTCCGGCGGGTTCGGAGCGCTCTATTCTCTGCATAGCCGCCATTGCACCGTTGTCGGGTGCGCCGCACTGCTGGCAGCACCTTGGGAGATGTCGACCTGCTGATGGTCTCAACCATGAAGAACTGCGCGCAGGCAAGAGCATGTGCAAAGCGCGCCAGCCCGCGCCCTGCGTGACTCACCATGCGCTGCCTCTCCAGTAGCTCTTCCAGCAGCAGCTGCGCCTCCGGCCCCGCGTCGTCGACCCCAGGACCCCACCGCGCGTCGTCCTCGTTATGGACCGCTTCATGCAGCAGCTGTGGGTGTTTGCATAAGATAGTGTGTTTGTGTTTGTGTGTGTGTGGGGGGGGTGGTTAGCAGCTGCGCCACACCGAGAAAGTCGTGGCAAGTCTGTGCGGGCATGAAGCACGCAGCTCGTGCCCCACTGCAGTCCGCTGGTGATAATACGAGCGAAAAGGTGGTGTGTTTGATTAGTCCCGGCCAGCGCAGTCTTTAAGTGACATTGCGGCTGAGCGTAAGGGAGGGGGGGCGCATTTGTCCACCGCGCAAAGCGGCGCGCCGGCCGCCCACACACGCACCTCCCAGTGGCTCTTCTCCGGGCCGCCCTCAAAAAGGGACTTCCAGAACCGGCCGCCCTCCGCCTTGGGCAGCACAATCATGAGATCCACGCAGCCCTCTGGCGGCGCCGCCTCCGCCCCGCGGCCTGGCCCCAACACGCCGGAGCTGCTGCCGCCAGCCTCGCCGCCGCTGCCTGCGCCGCCGCGCCATGGCGGCGGCCGCGGCAGCAGGCCCTGGTCGCTGCCGCTGCTGCCGCCGTCCAGCGCCCAGCAGGCGTCCGATGCGCGTACCGGCTTTGAGAGGGGCCCGTCCAGCACGCGGCCGGCCCACGTCAGGGAAATTGTCAAGCGGTCTGGGCGGATGATCACCGCCAGATCACGCTTGGTGGTGCCTGTTTGGCGGGGGTGGATGCATCGCCATTGCTCACACGATTGCAGCCTGCCAATGTGAGCGGTACAAGCAAGCGGTCATGAACCGGCCAGCAGGCGCAATTCGAATTTCTGGACGGCAAGCAATTGAGTATAATCAGGCACCGCCCTTTAGAGGGTCCTGGTTGCAGCCGCCCCTCTCCGTCTACTCCCCAGGCATGGCACCGGTGCTCATTTTGTGCAGGACGGCGATGCGCGCGCACACACACACACACACACACACACACACACACACACACACACACACACACACACACACACACACACACACACACACACACACACACACACACA